TCAATATAATAAAACATTAGCTGACCAGTGCTTTTACTAATTAAAAAACAGTTTGCAGTTGCAAATATTTGCAGAAGATTTGGGGATGTTTTAAAAATGTATATTTTTTATTTTATAAACTAAACAACATACTTGTCAAGGCATTGAAATACTTCTTTGTGTATTCTCATTACTTTTTCCATTTGAAGTATTTACAGCATATTTTCTTCTTCAGTTAATGGTTCTTTTCATTGCTGCTAAATTTATATTTTTTAGTTCTCAAATGATTGTGTGTGTGTGTGTGTGTGTGTGTGTGTGTGTGTCAAGGATATGTATGTGTGTGTATGTATACACACACACACACACACACAGTCATTTCCTTATAGTTTCCTTGCTACTACTATAGAATGGCTTTGCAATTGAATTCACTTGGCTTTGATTTTTAGTTTTAATGGGTTGACTTCTTTCCTTTCATAGAGTCCCAAATGCCCTCATACCTGTTGTAAACTACTTTTAGCTTTCTCATTTTGCTCATGCTGATAATGTACCATGGTATTAGAACTGCTCACACACACACCCTCCCCATTATACCAACATGGTAATTTTTCCAAAATTACCAGGATTGCAAGCCCAACTCAATAACAACAGTTATTTAATTAATTCAACTTGTATAGAGGCCCATTTCATATTTGTGACTCTGGGCAGTTCACCTAATTAAAAACAACAAAATTGTTTTTAGTAAATAACCAAAATACAGAAATCAATCACAAACACCATAACCCCCTAAAAACAATTATATAAGTTTAATATATATACAGTCATGTTCCATTCATTGTATATTCTTAAAATTAATAAAAATGTTTTTTTTAATCGGGTAGAATTAAATTAATTTTAATTGGATTAATACAGAGGTTAATAGAGAGAGCAATTGCTTTTTAATTCTCTGACATACTTCATTTGTGCCTATTCCTTCTGAGATGATTCTATCGCCTGAACAATCAACCACCTTACTTATAATGGCCTAGTTCTGTTGGCTTTTATTCCCTGTTGATTGCTAGGAGAACCTTAACTCAAATATTGCATGACTGCTAAGTGTATGGCACGATTATTCCAATGGGGACAGGGAGTTTGTATTTTGGAGGGGAGGCCTGTGCTTTACTTGACAGATAGATAGTTTTCAGCCCACATCCATTTGTTCAGTAGGCATTCACAGTTACAGCAACACTGAAAAAAAGTGGACATACCATCAGTCTTTGAGGTACTGGCCATCACAGCATTCTTGTGGCTATGTGATCATGATTGTGATCTGGGCACTCGGATGCTCAGCTTGCAGTTACAATATTGCAGGGAATTATGGCCACATAATTGTCATTTGCAGCCTTCCCTGCTGGTTTCCCACAGGCAAACGCTAAAGAGGAAGCCCTTGCCCTCAGCAACCCCCGCCCACACACAGACTCTCCCAGACCGTCTCCTGGCCTCTCATGATTGTGTGTGACCTGCATTGGCACTCTCCTGGTGTCTTCCGTTACCCCTCACAGCACCCCATACAATTTTTACCTGGGACTCCCACCTTTTCCCACTAAATGACTTACACTTGGGACTATGATGGCAAGGGGGACTGCCTAGATTGCTGTTGCTAAACAATGCAGTTATGTGTTGTTGCACTTCATGATTGCAACAGAGATCGCAATCCCAGTCTGAATTGCTGTACAATTAGATGATTACATGTACTAGATATGGATGTTCTACTATGGTCCATATATTATGTTAAAGTTCAACAATCCTTTATCCATGTAAGAAGTAATACTGGAGTGTTATTAAATAATTCAGTAGTTGTTCACTCTTTTTGTTCATATATTGATCAGATGTATAACAGAGAAACAGGTCTTTAATCTGTATATTATCTTTTAAGATATACAGGTAGTCCTCATCTATTGGGACCAGTAACTTGACCATTAAAGCAAACCAGTTAATGACTGAAACTGTGACTGTCCTTATTATCTTATTTCAGCTTTCCTTTGTCTTAAAGAACTGCAAAGATTGTAAATGGGGGCAAAGTTACTTTTTCATCAACATTGTAACTGAATGATTGTTGGGTGAGGCAGTCATTAAGTGAGGACTACTTATATGGAGAAAAAAATGCTGCTTAAACATACTTATTAGAAAATAACTCATTGAACTCCTGAACAAAAACATATTTTTCTAACTGCTGGACAGTTTTTAGGCATGTAGTCTGATTTAGTATTACTTTTAGCTGTTATCTCTTAGATACACTGTGCTTATGAATATGGAATCTGGGATTTTACAATACTAGACATCTTACCTTTTGTCTATATTCTTGTGAATATTGGGTTTAGTATTGTATCATATCTGAGGCATAATATAAGTATACTATCTGCATTGATCTAATTTATGTGGGAGAATTCAGTTTGGCTAAACACAAGTCGTTAAATTCTGAACTTTTTATGTTTCCCATAGCCTTTGGCAGAATTATGCATAGCTTCATGGCCTTACTATTTGTCTTTTTCATTTTATATTTGTTAAGCGATCTTAATGATGTCCATAACACTATTAGATCATTTTGTTACATTTTTAAAAATCCATAGTTATAAAAGATGCCAATTACTTGTAATGTTAATAGCCCGAGTCCATCCTGAATTTTAGATTTCAGATCATTGTAGTCTTCCCAGCTAGTTTAGTTTAGCATAGTTAAACACATTAAAATCCAATTCCTATAAATCCCAATAAGCATGACCAAAAACCATGGTTGCTATAGGAGTTGAAATCCAGCTCCAGAAGACCACTGAGAAATCTGATTTGGAAGGTGACATAATTACCCTTGTTTTTGTTAGTGGGTTTTTTTAATCACAGGGGTTAAAATATAAAGCAGATAAGCTAAAAGTTGCTTTGAATTCAGTCCATTATAAGGTTGAGAAAAATATTGTTTACTGCTGACTGATTATTGCTGTCTTAAAATAATAAAGCACATACTAGAGCAAAATAGTTTGAGATACTAAATGAATGGAAGATTGGCCATCTCACCTTTTGCAGAATAGATGATTCAACCTGGCTTTTATTTTTATTATGATAGTGTATTAATATAATATTTCTTAGATTTATTTAAACAGTAAGGAGCATAGAAATGTGTGTGGCCAATAAATAATATATATATATATACATACAAAGTTTGTCATCCAAATTTGGTTATTTCTTTCCATAACTGAATTTATGGCTCATACAAAAATTTTCCTGAGAAATCATAGGTTGCAAAAAAAGTCAAATTACATCCATTATTATTGTGAAATCAACTGAGTTATGTTTTGACACCTGTTTTTAGGAGATTTCCCACTTGTGTCATTTTGTACCATAATAGCAATCCCTGACAATTAACAATTCCTGTGAACTTTTGAACTAGTATTATCTTACTCACTCATCAGAATAAAAATCAAATTCTTCCAACAGCAAACAACATTAAATTACTGAAATGTAACTTTTTGCCAAGAACGTGACCTTAGCTCTAAACTTCATAAGTGGAATAGTGGCCCATAGTTTGAAATCAGAAAGGAAATGGGTTTTTTTTCCCCCTTTGGATACTCCCTCATGGATAAAACTTTCAGCACAACCAACCTACCAAAATCTGTCTGTTTATGGAACTCTGGAGATAGGGAATTTCTTCCATAGTGAGTAACTGTAAGCTGCTCACTGTATGGGGACAGTTGACACAGTATTTGATTTAAAGTTGTTGTACCAGGATGTTTACTGTAAGATCTTGAGGTTACCTTAACTCATGTGAATGAATTATAACAAATAAATGTTGTTGCTTCTGATGGAATCTGATCTGGGCTGTGGCATTTGATGGGTGGGGAGGTCAGAGTTACCTATCAGGCCGTCAGCCATAACTGAGACAAGGAAGATAAGTGGCCTTACATTGTTGGAGACACAGGAAAGTAATGACAACACTTTCCACACAGACTATTACAAAGAATAGTTTTCAAGTGGCTAGTTGGGCTCATGAATTACTGTACTTAGCCCACATTTTGACAGTCAATAAATATAAAGCGCCTACCACAGAATGCCAACCTGCAACATTTTTAATGTCCTAATTTCATTCTGTTAGTGTTCAGTGATAGGCAAAATTTACCAGCAAACTGCCACATCAGCCCTTTCTAAAATTGAATGTTCGCACTGCTTTAGATAACCTGTAGAATACCTGATTTTTGTCACAGTGCAATCTAAAATCTCTGCTTTGACTACTGTACCAAATGCAAGTAGGTGAATGAAGCACTTGTATCTTATAAATTGATTAAAAGGCAACCCCAATTCTTTTCAACTGAATGAGATAGATTCGTGGGACAGCATACAATGCTGGGGTTTTTTTAAACAACAAAAAATGTATTTGTATGGTATTTGTTTATATATTTTTGAATTTATCTCCCATCCTTTTGAATCTGCAAATATTCAAGCTGATCTACAGTAATAAATATGAAATATAAAACATCAAAGTAACCTCCGTGTAATTAAAATGAAAACAATAAATAAATATGGCATTAATTAGGCTATTTATTTTATTGCTGAAGTTTATTCAAGACACTTATTATACTGATGATGACTTGAGTTTAAATTTTTTAATAAATATCATGGTCCTTTTGACAGCTAAGTGGGCAGATCTGCCAATATTATATCCTATGTTATTTTCAATTATATATAAAATCTATGAAAAGCAGGGACTATAACTAATTTACTAAATTAAAGCCTAAGGCTAAGTAATATGTCAATTACCTTCACCCCGTCTGCACATTGGTTCTTTTTATCTGCTTTACTTTTACTTTTAATTTTGATGTTTTTCATGCCCACTGTTTAATGTTTTGATCCTGTAATTGATTATGTTATTTATGGTATTGTGAGCAGCCCAGAATTGCTTGGTAGTAATTAATTAAATAAATATTTAGGCTTGTTGATAGTGTATAATTTAATTATCAATTTCTTTTTATTTCTCTGATATCTCCAAATACTATCCCAAGTGTGGAAACTTTGCAGTCTTGGTAGATTTCCATATTGCATCTCAGGACCGTATGTGGTTTTCTGATCATCAGAGAGAGGTAAAGACTAATCATTCCTACTTTTAAAAATATCTAAAGAAAGTGATTTTAAGAAGTTCATGATTTTATAAATCCATTTCAATTGTCTCAGTGCAGAACTAAGTTTATCAAGGAAGAAACATATACTTGTTTTCTTTATTTCCACTTCTCCCTTCACTCTGTTCTGTACATATTACAGTGGTCCATAGCATAGAGAATTTTAAAAAAGAAGAAAAAAGAAAAATCGATCTTTAAATTTGGTCTATGGGAAAACAAGGGTATTTTATTTAGAAAACAAATTATATTCTGTCTTTTCATTAAAAAAATACTAAGCAACATATTTGTCGATAATGTGCTTTATTAATAAGCATAGATTAAAAAATAATCATTGATTTTTTGATGTACTTGCAATGTTTTTTAACTTGCTAATTAGAAGTTTTGTAAGAATATAGTATTATATGCAATAAGTAGAAAAATCGTTCTTCTCAGTCTTTATATTTAAACTCACGTTAAGACAAATTATCTCCCAGGAAGTCTGTCTTCTGCTGAAAGATACAGTTGAATCAAGAGTACAACAGTACTTGAAAGCACGTAAATTACATGGCCGGTGCAAGCAAACAGAACATGGAGAAGCTAATTCTTTGTCTTTAAGAGGTAAGAGTTCATCGTTTTTATTTACCACTGTGTTTACTTAATCTTTTGATTATTACTGCACAGCAGTTTTTTTTTAATCAAATAGGTAGATTGTATAATGTGGAAGTAATCAAATTCAATAAGAAATGGTGATGCTTTTAATATGTGGGTAATGATTTAATCATAGGATCAGGTTTCTTTTTAACTCAGATTTTTATTCAGTGCTCAAAATTAAAAAGTAAGCATGCAGAGACTAGATGAACTACTTAAAGAAGGAAATGAGAAATAAATTATCTCTGATCAGTTGGCGGCCATTAATAATTTAATGGATTTACGAATGGCAGAATACAGATCCCAAATAGCTTGTCCTTCATATACCCCTCATCTAAAACTCTAACTTCCTGGGAACTGAGACTACATAAAAACTGTGGACAGAAAGATTATTAAAGAATGTAGCTGCTTAAAAAATGCAAGAATGAATGATAGAATATATGAGAAGGTGAATTTAATCCATAAAGTTCCAGTGGCCTACTATTAATCAATATCTTTCAAATTGGATTCCAGTTATTCCTGTTTGTGGAGCTCATAGCTTCCAGCTTAGTTCTTTCCCATCTCTTGGGTTATTGTGTCTGAATACACTACTGCCTATTCTCATGCAGACTGGACCGGTCTTTAAATTCAGTGCCCCTCGGAAGGAAAGTTGGAATGTCCCTCAGAAGCATGAAAGGCAGAGCCTTTTTGATCATAGCCTCCCATTGGTGGAACTTTCTCTCAGAAGAGATATAGTTTGTGTTTTTAGCTGCCCCTAAATATATATTTCATTTCCAACTGCTTTTAGTTTAAAAGATGATTTTTGTTGTTTTGCCTTTAAAAAAAAGCTAACTCAATTTGGATGAATTGGAGAGGTTTTTTATGTGTGTATGTGTACTCCTTTTCATCACATAAACTTATTCATATTGACACTTTTCAAAGTGATTTATTTATATTTTCTCTGCTGCCTTGAAAGAATATTGTATTCCAAGTACATTCAGCCCCCCTCAAAGAAATAAAAATACCACACAAAATAAAATGAGATCAGAGAATTTTTTTTTTTTTTGACTGATCAAATGGGCAGAAAAGTTCCATGCTGAGTTTCTGTAGTTAGAATAGAGCTGGAAATTTGAAAGAACAGACAAGCTACTGCTTGTGCCTCCTTCGTACCACCTATTCTGGATGAAAGAAAGGGATGTAAAGCCTTCTTCCCAATCCAGATGTTAGAAAGATGTGCTAAAGCAATGTGTTGTTTCTATTTGGGAAAAAAAGCTGAGCAGCTGTGCGCAAGCTGTGACTTTCTGCTTGGATGTTGGGAAGTAACACAGTGAAAATATACGGGCAACACAGTACAAACACATACAGTATGTTTTTCAGAAAATAAGCCCCAGTTAGATCATTATTAACTGACAAGTTATAAAAGATTGTACTGTGTGTATGTGTGTTTGTGTGTGTGTGTGTGTGTGTGTATGAGGATAGAGTAATACTTGCAGATTCTTGCATGTATTGTTATATTATTTAATCTAGTTGAAAGCGAGACTTTAAGATTGTACAGAGCAGTTAAAAATTAACCATATATTTTAATCTTTACATGTTAGTCTTTCTCTTGTTTTGTGGTCAGATATAATCTTTGGAAGAAAGCTCCTCTGGATTTCTCACAGGGCATTAAAACTGTCTAGGTGTTTAAAGTGAAGCATGTCTGAACGTTTTCCAGCATCAGGACTTAAAAAAAAAAAAAGAAATAGTCCGACATGGTAACAGGGAAGGATTTTTTTTAATTAAAAATAATTACAAAAGTGGTGGCATTCGAAGTATAATTTCCTTACCTTTAAACTTTTGATTTGATGTTTAATAACACAAACTGCCCCCTTTTCCCTAAATAACTGCAAACAAAGGAAAGAAGTAAAGTAAGGTTTCTGTCAGCCCTACCAAGTAGACCAGACCAGGAAATCAACCATAAACCAAGATATACTTAATGTTATCAGAACATAAATGTTCAGACTGAAATGAGTATTCTGGGAATTGAAGATCTGCAGTGGAGTGAAGTTCATGTCAGAGGAGTACCAGATTGCATTGTGGACAAGAAAATAACAGAAGGAATGGAGTGGCAATAATTTGCAATAAAATGTTATCAAAATTAGACCTGAAATACAGCCCCCCCCTCCATGAAATAATGATTTCACTTTGAATCCAAGGCAAGACAGCAATATTATAGCAATCCAAATCCAACAACAGATGCAGAAGAAGCAGAGGTTGACCAGTTAGTGGTGACTTATAATACCTTGTAAATGCAACCCTCACAAAAGACAACGCCCCAGTTAAGGGAGACTGGAATGCTGAAGTTGGCAATAAAGCTGCACAAATAATGCGATAACCCATAGAAAGGAAGCAGAAGACAGTTTTGCCAAGAAAGTTCTGTGATTATTAAAATTTAATACATTTTATTTGTTTACATAAATAAATTTTAAAAAGTTTAACGGTCTTCCAACAACCTAAAAAAAATAACCGTACAAATGGATATGACCTAAAAGAACAAGAGCAAAATCAACTGGTCCATATTCTGAAAGCACAGATAGAAAAAAAGTCTATAGTATTCAAAACAAAAATAGGCTTCTGACTGCAGCTCACAAACTCCTTAAAAGTACAACTGAAGAAAAAGTACAACATGAGATACTTTTTGGAAAATTGCAGATATCAAAGGAAACTTTTTCATAACCCTAAAGCAGCAGAACGAAAGAAGAGAAAGGCAGTAAATGTCTATTGGAGAAAGTAGAGATTATCTATGGTTTCCCTCCAGGAAAATGGAAAAATGACGGCTCGGAAGGTTTCAGTGTCCCGCCAGCCTTTCCCTATTCTGCTTACCCTCAGGGCTCACAGAGTTTAGAGGGAGTGGTTGCCTCTGCCAAATTGCTTCACACTATTAGCAGTCTCTTCATATTCAGAAGGATATTAGTGTTCTATAATACTAATTTCATAGTGATAGAATGTCTTTAAATATTTCACAGCTTAATAAAGTTAAACTCAGCTGACTGAATTGCCTGGTGGATGCCATGCCCCGAAGCGTCTCTCATTCTTCTGACTCTCTCTAAAACTTGCTTAACGTATTTTTGTTGCCTCTGTTTATCCCTCTATGTGTCTAGCTAAAGGTCCTAACTGATGATGGGCAACACATGGGTTGGCCTAAGAGTACCTGTAAATAAGAGTTTCCCAATCAGGTGTCCTCCAGATATCGTGGACTTAATAAGGCTATTGACCTAGCTTGTTGGGGATGATGAGGGCATATATAGAGGGAAACTTATCTGAGCAATCATACAGGCAGGATTCACTCTTCAATAGATGAAGTTATTCCTGATGATGATGATGATTATATATGTGTATGTATATGTATATGTATACACACACACACACACAATTTAGATAAAAACTATTTTCTGTAGCTTCAAGCTTAGTGTTGAAATATTGACTGAAGAAAGATAATTAAGGGATTAGATGTAATTTAAAGCATGAAAACGTAGAGTATTGACTAGCAACACTAAAATATTAATGCTTGTGTGGCCTATACATTTTGCAGTTTAAAGAACAAGATAGATTACACGTCCGCATATATCATTTAGTTCTTTCAATGTGTTTTCTCTAAAAACATTTACTTTTATTTATTGAGAGTTTTTAGTCCCTGCAGCACATAAAAAGAATACATTTCAAATAATAACGGAGCAAAGACTAGGGTGTACAGCATCTGAAATAGCTGGATTGTAAGGAAGAAAAGGTTCAGTGTTTTGGAAAAGATTGTGGAAAAAGAAATAGGGGTGTGTCAAGTACAAAAACACTTTGAGATCACAACAGGCCTCCATAGGCCTGTCTTGTGGTTTTGGAGAAGACTTTGCTGAACTCAGAACAGAATGATTCAGGTGCCAGATTTTGCTGAGAAGTGAACACCTGCCAGGCCACTCCAGATAACTCAGCCGCTGAAAGGCATTTTCCCAGGCTCCCAGGTGAATGGTCTTTAATAGCCGTGGGAGACAGCTTTCCCCTGTTGTATGCTATACCACAGACTCTTACTGGCAACCACACAGATGATCGAGTCATCAGCAAATAAGTGTTGCTAGCATGCTTATGGAGAAGGCTACCAATCAAGGTGGGGAGACCTCAGGAACTGCTTTTAAAAAAAAGGACTTAAGAGGGCCACCAGCTGGAGCCTGTTGAAAAAACATTTAGAATTACATTTCTGGTTCCAGGAATTTATTAAGCCCCACATCTGAATAGAATTTTGGTAGAAAAACTACTGCTGGTTATTTGCCTCTATCCCTTTATTAGAAAGGGCATTCAGAAATCCTTTTTTTTTTTTAATTGTTTAATTTTATTTGGACTGGATGATCAAACATTACAAACTTTAAAAATCCCAAACCTACACAGATAAAATGTTTTTAAAAAATCCTTGACTATATGTTGCAGATTGTTCAGAAATCAATCAATGAAATTAGAACTACTTGCTACCCATCACATTTTTCAAAAGCTCTTGTTGACTTTAAATTTTTAATAAAAAGTTGCTATTGAATGCCTCTCTTTTTGAACCTAATTTTCTCAATTTTGATAAAATACTGTAGTGTTGTGACATAGGCTTATTGAGTCATTTACAAGACACAATTAGTCCCAAACAAACCTATTTTATTGTAACAGCTGAGAATTACGTTCATTCCCAGTTGAGTCTCAATTAGTTGCAAAACAAGTCCTTCAGAAGAAGTCCTTCGGGATAACCACCAAACTTTATCTTCTTTCACACCCTGCCAAAGGCCTTACTTGGCAAAGCCCCACGAAGTTCAGAAACAAACAGGAGATGCCGACTGGAAACAGAGTTAGCAACGTTGCTTTCCTGCAAAAAGGCCCAAGTGCCTTTGTTTCTCTTTTAAGCCTTATGGGAGGGGCCAATCATCTCCTGGCCTTACTCCTGAGTCGCCCCTTTTGCTTTAGCTGCTCTTGCCTTCTGGCAGCTCTGCGCATGCGTGCACTAGGAACAGGCTCCTCCTGTTCCTCTGCCTCTTTGCTGTCCAACTCTGGGGGCTCCGGAGTCCGTGTATCACTCCCAGATAGACCTGGCCCCATCTGTGCCTTCGATGCAGAGCCCTCATCCGGGCCTTCCCTAGATTCCAGGACTGGCCCATGTTCCTCCCCAGCCTCCTCACTGTCCGACTCCGCTGCCAACTCCGCAGGCTCCTGGCAGACCACAACACGTAGCTTAAAATGGTGGAGGAAATTTCAGAGACTGCTGCTGCTGCTTTTGTAGTAATTCTGATCTGTATGTCCCAAAGACGCTTTTTCAAGAGCAACTGGACTTTCTGGTTTTTCTTTGAAGACGTTTTGTTTTTCATCCAAGAAGCTTCTTCAGCTCTTTGAAAAAGCACCTTTGGAACAACCATGACCTGGATGGCTGAGAATCTCCATAAATACTTTGAGCTGTATAAAAGCTAATGTAGATGATGGAAGTGGTTGAAGGTTTGAACTTGGATGGGGGAGGTGCAGATTCCATTCCCTACTGCAATGTTTCTCAACCTTGGCAATTTGAAGATGTGTGGACTTCAATTCCCAGAATTCTCCAGCCAACAAGCTGGCTGGAGAATTCTGGGAGTTGAAGTCCACACATCTTCAAGCTGCCAAAGTTGAGAAATACTGCCCTAATGGAATTGGGATTTTGTCATTGTCAGTCTGCATCCGGGTCTTTCCAGTTACAGCACAAAACATGCCAAAATCATAGGGTGAGGCTGTTGATCAGCACAGTTTAATTTTCTGATTTAACCACAGGGGTGTGAACAGACTGATGAAGGCCTTTGTCTGCAGTTGTCATTCCTGAGGCTGTTTTCCAAATGAAATTTGGAATCGTATCAGCAAATTCCAACTCTTACCCCACCACCATCTCCAGGGTGTAGATTATCTACTTTCCTTTTAAGTCTACATGCTAATATGAATAGTTTGCTTTGGTCGAAGCTGTTCAAATTTTGGTGGGTATTTTTAACTATTCTAAAATGACAATGGAAACATCAGGTTTTCACTTGATTACAGTAAAAATGTTTTCAGTGACAGAAATATACATGATGCTCTGAGATGTGCCAATCACAAGAGAAGATATGTAAAAATAATATCACGTAGGTTTAGAGTCAGTGAAAATATATTTATTTCTGATCCAAAGGTGTGAAATTGTTACCATGCTTTTTTTGGGCACATAGTTGTGTACATCAGAAACTACATTTTCACATTAATGGAGCCATTCCTTCCATAATAAGAATGACCAGGAACACTTCAGTTCAAATGTGCTTGGGAAAAACCATTGCAATAATATTTCAAAATTTTAGAACATACAAACCTTTGCTTGTTCCTTCTTTCTGCAACTATTATATTGCTCCTTTGGAATAAGACTTACAAGTCTGTATAGACCTTCTTTCATTTCAGTTAACAAATTAAACAGAAACAGACCAAAGTTTTCTTCCTCTCCATGTCTCCACCCCCACCCCCCAGGCATTTAATCATACAACCTGATGAAGTACTACAGGCATTCAAAATTACCAGCTCTTTTTAAAATGTTCCCTTAGCCTCATGAAAATATTAACTCCATGAACCTGGTTTGTAATTATGTGACCTTTATGATCTTGGTTTTATTCTGCCAGTCTTCATTGTTCAGTTGTGCTGTCCCTTAATTCCATATATGCAGGAGTACAGCATAGCAGAGTTGATAGTCAGGAAAACAATAGACATGAAATCAAAGGTTTTTCCAGAGACAAAAGTTTTTGTTAGACAACTAACTTGTAAAGTAACGTAAGAGCAATTATTTGAGTCCGAAAAGGAGAGAAATTACTGTTTGGTATTGGCTCGTAAAGAAAGGAATTGCCATGAGAATTGGAAATCTTGAGTTGGAGAGAAAGCTTGTGAGGATACTCCTTTCATCCTTCATCTTTGTCCAAACCAGGGCATCGATGCAGTGATGCTTAAGAGACATTTTTGGCTCCACTAAAACTTTACCAGTTTTAGCCTACCGAGACTGGATTTTATAGAACCGAGCAAAGCTACAGTTCCAAGTCAGGCTGTGTTTGATTACTGTAGCAAGGCCGTGGAATTAAGGTTTCTTTCAGAATAAAGGATGCAGAAATTCCACTGGCCTGTAGGAAGTCTATAAACATTATTTCGATCATTTCAGGATTCCATTACGAAATCTTAAAGTGCATTTCATCCTAGCTGGATTCTTTCCAGACTAGCTGAACTTGTCCAAAGAAAATGTAGCCTTTTTGAACCAAACTATGCAAAAGAGTGGCAAAGGGGTATTTTTTTCACAGTAAAACCACAGGATTAATTGCTAAAGAGCAGAGCATATCTTTCATTGAATTATTCATGACACTGATGTTCAGCAGATCTTGAGGTTCTTCTGCGCAAACACTCGATGTCTAAAAAAAAATGCCAATCATTGCATTTGTGTTATTCCAGTGTAATATAGAATAAACTGCAAAGTCACCTTTCAATAGTGTAATATGATCAAGCGTTTAAAAAATTCAGTGACTTTTTTTTTTTTTTGAGCGATGTCTTGGGTGCTTTGGGTTATAAAAAGAAGCAAATCAATAACTGTATAAAAATATGCTACAATATTTTTTTGGAATACTGTACCAGTCTGAACCAAATTCTCAAAATGGCTTTTTTTTAAAAAAAAAATGACAACAATGAGCATGTTTGAAAATATTTTAACACAACTTTATGATCCTTTATTTTCGTGGAAATGGCCTCCAACATTTTTATGATATCCCCTTTTTCCCCTACAGAGTATGTAAAGTCCATCTATGTTAAGTTAATCTAAAGAAGGATTCGTATATAGAATTTATTATAAAAAAAAAAAAAGCAAAAGGTTTGCTACATTGCTTAAAGATAGATTGGGCCAAGAATTGTGAAATGTGAGAAAGTGGCATTTGGCGAGCCTGGAGTTGAGTGATATAAGGAATGGATAAAAGGTTGTAGCTTATAACTGGTTCTCAAGCCTGCGCTGGAACATTTAAAATGTGCAATTTTGGATTTCGTGGCTAGAGTTAAGGTAACGATGCACATAGCATACGTTTAAAAATGTACTTAGCGAATTTTAATTGTGTTTTTGTATATGAATTTTAATCCAGACACATACTTGATAAACCTGTGTTGCCTGTATAAAACCTGCCTTGCTTTTATGTTGCAGCGGACGAATTTCACATTTCAGCTTACTTTGTCAAAAGATGGGCTAATCTGCGATGTATTGGACAACGGCACGGTGGTAAGCTACCTAAGTCTCCCTCTCTGAGTACTTTGGAGAAACAAGATGAAAAAGCTACGCTTGGACCAATGGTATCCTTCAACAAACCATGTGTGGTGCAGAAAGATTTCAGGGTTTCTTGGTGCTCTCTGAGCTTGCTAGGTTTTCTTGGAGATGTTTCATTACCCAAACTAGCAGCTAGTTACCTAGGACCCCTCATTTTTACCCTGAGCTACAAATATTCTTTTTTTATTGGCAGAAAGATTTCTGTTCTTCTCTTTCTACTGCTTGACCATAACTTGCTGATGGCTTCCTGGATGGAAACCGCTATGTAAAAGTATTTACTTGTTCGGTTCTCTTACAAATAAATTAAAAGGCACTTATAATGCCAGTTTGTCTTAGCAACAGAACTGAAAGGAAGCATCCTCTAGCTTTTATTACCAGTTTTTTTTGACTTAGGGCCACTAGGAAGGTACATCCTCTACCAATGATAAGTGGGGGGAGCATGCTGACTTATCCATAGTTCAGGAACAGAATTACGAAAGAGAGTTGTTTCCTTTTATATCAGAAAGAACAATGAGGTTCAGCTGCTAATTGGCCACTGCCTTCCAGTTGAAACATTTGATATCTCAAGCAGGCATTTTAGGTCATATCAACTGACTTGATATTCATTCTAATCACAGGTATAGTCTAAATAAATCAAATATTTCATGTTCTCTCTCTCTCTCCCTCCCTCCCTTCCTCCCCTCTCTCTCTCACACACATTTGCTTCCCTTTTCTGAAGAAGCTTATTTCTTTGATTGGGGCAAATGTTTGTGTTATGAATTTCCTGCTGCTATTTTATTCCATGCTATTTACTTACTAATTAGTTCTTGAAAGAGTAATTAGCCCAGACTCCCTGCAACAATGGCTCAGCTCAGCATTTTATTGAGTCTTTGGATTCTGAATCAGTAGAGGTCGCTCTATGAGTCAGGCATATTGTCACAGGGTTGTTCAAATATCTGCCACAGACAGCTTTTGTTTATCTTTTTAAGTGATATCATTGGACCTGATCGCTTTTCATATTTTTGCACCCAAGGAAGTCTAGAAGGGTATGAATCAAATCTTAGGCTGCCAAAAATAAAATGTTTGGAGCAGTTAATTGTTTGGCTGAAAACTTGCTTGAATCCCATTAAATATGGTATTTACAGTATTGTGAACATTTGTTAAGTCTATTAGACATGTAATCAGTGGTGGGATTCAGCCAGTTCGCACCACTTTGGGAGAACTGGTTGTTAACTTTCTGAGCAGTTTGGCAAACTGGGTGTTGGAAGAAATCATTAGGGCAGAGAACCGGTTGTTAAATTACTTGAATCCCACCACTGCATGTAATCTCTACTTTGATAACACCTTAAATCAAGCCCATTCTGCACCATTGTCTTTAAGCTCAGTGCTTTGGGAGGAGAATGTCTTGGGAATCATATACCATAAATATATGTTTTTCCTCTAGCCAGGTTTTTCCTACGTAACCAAGGTTTTTCTGCAGCCCTAGCTCAGTGGAATCGCATCCACTCGATTCTGGGCTTTTTTCTTTCTGGCAGCCAGCAAGTTCTTGCTGCCAGGTGAGAGACTTATATAGATCTATTTCTGGCTCATTAGCCATCATCAGTAAGCCACACCCATATCTCATGTATCCCCCCTGTAAAGGTACAATATCTATTTTCTTACTTCTTCATAGGTTTTATGTGTGTTTTTCCTCTAGCCAGGTTTTTCCTACATAACCAAGGTTTTTCTGCAGCCTTACTGATGATGGCTAACGAGCCAGAAACAGATCTATATAAGTTTCTCACCTGGCAGCAAGAACTTGCTGGCTGCCAGAAAGAAAAAAGCCCAGAATCGAGTGGATGTGATTCCACTGAGCTAGGGCTGCAGAAAAACCTTGGTTACGTAGGAAAAACCTGGCTAGAGGAAAAACACACATAAAACCTACGAAGAAGTAAGAATATATATGTATGTATGTATGTATATATGTATATGTATATACACATACACATACACATACACATATACATATACATATACATATACATGTAGGTCTTTGGTTATTTGGGTTTTCTCCCGCGTAAAATTGGAAGTGTCTTGGCCAAGACACTTCCAATTTTATGCGGAAGAAAACCCGAATAGCCAAAGACCTACATACAAACACCCGCGAAAACCTCAGAAAACATATATATATATTTCATTTGACATTCTATGTATATTGCCATCGTCTGTCTTAACTGGTCCCTTTAGGACCTACCCTTAAAAAAGTAACAAAGACCATATTAACTTATATGGCTTTTCCTTAAAGTGGATTTAAATTCTGGTGCTGTTTTAAATTTTACTATAATCTGCAATGGTTTTCCAACATTTTTATCATCCTTTGAATTATAGCAACATAAGAAACTACTTTTTTGAAATTCCAGAATAACACTAAAATGATTTCGTGAGTTGGCCTACTACTATTCTGTTTAAGACATAATGAAACCTCTACAGGATTCAGCATAGGATTTCTCTGGAATATATCTTCTTCTTTTTTTTGTGTGTGTGGTGGTGGTGGGGGGTTGTTTTTGTTTTCATCATGATTGTGGCACAGCAGCGCAATGTCTCAGTGGTTAAGGTGTTGAGCTTGTAGGCTAGAAAGCCAACAACCCGAGTTGGAGACCTGAGTGCTGTGCGACGGGTGCCCATCTTCACTTAGCTCCTGCCCACCTAGCAGTTTGAAAGCATGCGAGTGCAAGTAGATAAATAGGTGCCACTTTGATGGGGAGGAAATAGTGCTCTACAACGTCTTGCTGGCCACATGACCATGGAAGTGTTTTCAGAGAACACTGGCTCACGGCCTTGAAACAGAAATGAGTGCCACCCCCTACTATTCACTAAGGCTGCATTACTATTACTATTGGTCTTCTTATCGTTCCTATCACCCATCTCCTCCCACTTATGACAGCATGACTGTAGCTTTGTTGCTTGTATCCTTACAATTTATACTGATTGTTTCTTAGTATGATTTGATTGCTTATTTGTACCCTATGACTATCATTAAGTGTTGTACCTTATGATTCTTAACGAATGTATCTTTTCTTTTTATGTATACTGAAAGCATATGCATCAAAGACAAATTCCTTGTGTGTCCAATCATACTTGGCCAATAAAAAATTCTATTCTATTCTATTCTATTCTATTCTATTCTATTCTATTCTATTCTATTCTATTCTATTCTATTCTATGCTATGCTATGCTATGCTATTCTATTCTATTCTATTCTACAGTCAGCAATGACTAGCGGAGTAAAATCCACAGGGACTCCTTTCTTTTCCTTTCCATGATTCTGGCAGGGGAAGCCTTGGAGCTAACCGCTTTTATTATTATTAATAATAATAAAATAATAATAGTAATAAAATAAATGAAATAAATAAAATAATAAATTATTTTATTATTATTAAGAGTGGGCATTTATTACAGTCACAACATCACCTTTCATTCCGTTAGCTTGTTAGAGTCTAGTTCTAATACTGTACCATATTTATGCTGAGTTTACAGTTCCCATCTGCCCCAATCTTTGCTCACTGAAAGCTGTACAGTATTATTGGTGTACCACCCAGGGCTGCTAACAGTGAAAATCAATAAATACCACAAAGAAATGAAAATAAATACAATTAAAACTAGGCAAATATCTTTGAATTTGCCATAAAACAAGTGGTTATAGGAATTCACAAGAATGTGACATCAATCATTTGGTTTCTTGTTTTGTGTCTCTCCTTGCCATCATAGTGAGATGATGTTATCTGCCATCAAACTTGCAGAAAGATTGACATAAAAGTGTTTTTAAAATATCTGGAAAAAAAATTGTTGTAAGATAGAACTGGAATAAGAGAAAAACCTGCCAAGAATTTTTGCATATTCCAATGGAAAAATCTTGGCGATTTTTTTTTTCAAATTTAGTTCTTGACTTTAATCATTTTTGCTTGTCCACCAAAAATGAAACAAACAAACAAACAAAAAAAGGATTATGGAACTCAAATTGACCAAAAAAAGGGGGTTACAGTGTTTAAAAACCTAAAGGGTTAGATAATAGAGAAAGTGCTTCTGAAGTTTCATTATGTTAAAAAGCCTCCAAAATGTATATGTTCTTATACTTATACAGAATTACGTGTATTTCCGGATCGTTTTGTGATTTATGTCTCAAGATTTGAACCCGATCCATCTTCTTGGGTCAAAGAAAGTGTGGCATTGGTATGTATGAAAAATATTAACAGATAGCATATTTTACAGAATTCTGGTTAGAAACGTGGGTGGCTTCGTGTTAGCCTTTGCCATTCATGGATTCTTGGCATGTGGTTGGGATGGAAAATTTTACATAAATTCTTGAGCCAAGTGATTTAAAAATTGGATAGAAAAATTGTTCTCTGAATTCACAAGCTTCACACCCAGAAAAGAAAAATAGTGAGTTTCTGGTAAGTATTGTTAATGAATTCAAATTATCCTTTAAAGGTGCAGAATAAAGAACACCATAGTGGCGTATTTCAAATATGAATGATATAAATTAATATATTGTTGCCATCCATACAAAATTAAGTACTTTTCATCTTTTCTTTACTTATGGAAGCATTATTTTGGAGCATTCATTTGTTCTGCTGTATTTCATTATTAATATTATTCGTCAGACAGTCAGTCGGATGTTCAGACTGGATTTAGCATTTTAATCTACCTATCGAATCCTCCCCAAGGATCTGGGATAGGCAATTGTTGATGTTTTATGGCGTTTAGAGGTATTGGCGCAGGATGTAAGCTGTTTCGAGTAAAGCTGCCTTTTCCAATTGACTGGTGGTGAATTTGTCAATGCCAATGGTGTTCAAGTGGTACTCCAGTTTTGGGATTGCACCCAACGTGCCTATTACTATTGGTACTACCTCTGCTTTCTTTTGCCACAGTTGTTCTATTTCTATTTGCAGTTCTTTGTATTTTGTTATCTTCTCCAGTGCTTTCTCTTTTATTGTGCTGTCTCCAGGCACTGCCACATCTATGTACTATCAAGACTTTATTGTCTTTCTTATCTTCAATGGTTAAGTATAGCATGTTATACCCATCTGTTTGAGTTCTAAAATCCCAGAGTACTTTAGTTTCTTCATTTTCTTTGATTTTCTCTATTTTATAGTTCCACCAGTTCTTGCTTGTAGGCAAACAGTAATTTTTGCAAATTTTTCTATGCGTTGTTGTTGCTGCTGCTGCTGTTGCTGCTGCTGCTGCTGTTTTGTTAGATTTGCTAGGGTTGGACACATGGGTTAGACTGCAACTGTCCTGCTCTTAAAGATATTAAAGTGAGAGAATTAGCCTTCATCTGAGCTGACTTTCCTTCTCTGTGGGAGCCCCAGCCCTGTGGAATGAACTGCCCCTGGAAATACGTAAGATCTCTGACCTCCGGGTGTTTCACTGCACACTGAAGACCCTGTTGTTCCGCCAGGCCGGGCTATCAACATAATAATTTTAAATTGGGGTATTTTAAATTCGGGGTTTAAAACCGGGCCAAATCTATTTAATTATTTTAATTTTTAATCATTTTTTTGTCTTGTGTTTTTAAATTGGCTGTACACCGCCCTGAGTCCTTCGGGAGAAGGGCGGTATAGAAATAAAATTATTATTATTATTATTTATTATTATTAATAAATCAAACTGTCATTTTGTCAGATCACTGTCAGGCCTGGAAGCCATCTTTTGCATTAGGCCTTCAGACCTGCCATGTTTACTACGGTGGGAAACTGGGATGGGGATTGTATGGAGCATGGGTGATATATACTGTATTTTTTGGGAGTATAAGACACACCTTTTTCCCTCCTAAAAGGGGGTGAAAATTTAGGTGCGTCTTATACACCGAATGTAGCCCCGCCCACACACTGGGCCCCACCCTTTGGCCTGTGCCTCACAGCAGTTACCTCCTTGCAAGGAAACAGCAAGAAAAAACAGCTTCTTTCAGCTTCAGCACAGCCTAATTAGCACAAGTTGATTGGATCGGCCTCCTGACTCTCAGCTGATTTGCTCTTAGCTGTTTTGCGCAGGGCTCTGCTGCTTGCTGCAAAGAGGTAAATTTCTGGAGCAGATTTTTTTTCTTTGTGCTAATCAAGCTATGCTGAAAACGAAAATGAAAGTAAAGCAGGCTGTTTGCTGTTTGCTGCAACGTCGCTGTCAGGTTATGATGTCGTCTCAAATAAATTGCATTTCCAAACAAATAGTCTTTGATGAAATCTTTCATTTATTGAGCACAACAATCTATCCCCAACTCCATCGTAGTCAGCACTGGATTTCTGACCCCAAACCCTCCCTTTCTGTTCCCCAACTCTCTGCGTCTCATTGGCCATCTTCCAAGTCACTCTCCCCATATCTACTACTTCAGCTCACAGGAATGTCCCCCCTCCCATCCCATCTCCTAGGGGATAATATCTTCAGGGAAAATAAGTAGGTGAAGAGTCAAGCGTCCTCTTCTCTTCCTTATGTCAGCACTGGGGTGAATGTAGTTTGGAGTGCTGACAGTCGCAAAATTAAGCAGAGGCAGAGGGAGATTTCTTTTTCTTCTTTTTCCTCACCAAAAAAGGTAGGTGCAAACAATGGGAAATTTAGGGCAAAAGGGGAGAATTCAAGATCTTAAAACACAAAGGGAAAAAAGGAGAAAGAAAAAGGCAAAAATAAAAATGGGAAGGGAGAAAAAGAAATGAAAGAGAAAGATGTTATACATATTTAGAATTGAAATATGAATAGTAGTAAGAAATAAATGGGAAATCATGATTGTAAAATGAAATGAATAATAATTGGAATATTTGTCTTTGTATTTTTGAAATCTAGACAATGATAAGTTTTTATTTTTTTATTTTTTTTTAGAAATATGAATAAGTATAAACTGTAACAATTGAAATACCTTTAATGGTATATGGTAGTGAAAGTAAAGAGGATTAAGTTGTAGCTTGGATAACAGCGAGAACATTTTTAAATTTAATTAGGGAAATTGTAACAATTGAAATATTGTGATGAAAGTAGAAATGATTAAGTTGTGAGTTGGAGGATTATATGGGCAAAACTATTTGGGTTATTGGGAGAGTTTAAGATGTCAAAATGAGTAACATAAGGGGAAAGCTCTATTTAACTAGGGAATTGTAATAATTGAGATACTATTAATTGTATATTGTGCTGAAAGCAGAAATGGTTAAATTGTGGTTTGGAGGAATATATGGGGAAAATTCTTTGGTTTATTATTATTGGTAAATATAATTAATTGATTTGTAAGAAATTGGATTGCATGGAAATAATTGGAATATTCATGTTCATATTGATTAATATGCAAAAAAAAGATAGTTATATAACTAATTGATTTATATTAAAATGTTGAATTTGTATTAAACAATTGTAATATTACATAATTAACCAATGTGAGGATGGATATAAAAATAGATGACAATGGGAAGGGATATAATATAGAATAGAAGGGAAAAATTGAATTTGATTAAGATTAGAGATGAGGATGAAAGGTAATATTGGTTTTTTTAAAAAATAGATGAGGAATAAATATGACAAAAAGGAAATATAGAAATTATAAATTTAATTGAAATGATTAAACACTGTTTAAATTTGTGAACCGGCCAAATACTCTGTTCAAAGAAAATACATTGTATGTTTGTATGTGTGTTTGTCTAAAAAAAATTAAAAAAAAACTTTTTATAAAAAAAAACAAAACAAAAAAGGTAGGTGCGTCTTATACTCCGGGGCGTCTTATACTCCGAAAAATACGGTAGTCATAATAACATTCCTTTCTCAGAAAGTCAAGGGCAACTTGCCCTGCATCTGGAGGGCTGGGAGGCATCTCCAGTTAGGATGGTGCTTTGATTGGACCATTGATAGACTTATGGGTGTTGGGCAGGGACTTGAACTTTTCTTTGGGTGGGGAAAATCTGGAAACTTTCAGAGATTCGGGTTTTCCCAGATGTGCCAATATGACATCTCTAATAAAATGTAACTTTGAGGAAACTCAACCCTTGGAGGTTTATTTCATTGGGGGCGTTACTTGGAACCCTGACAGTCACTTGGCTTCATAGTACATAGTTGTTGGCACTTTAACCAAGCACAGGGGAAATTAAAGATATTTCAGATCTAGTTTTATTTAATCGGCTTATAACAATTCAAGATACCGGCCTTTTGCAGTTCTTAGGAAGAAAAATGATTCCTTTTTATTTTCTTGGCAACAATGCAATCCTGATTTGCCATTGTCTTCTACCAAGGTGTGGTTTCAAGCTTTTCAATCCAATTTGTACTCCTGGAATTTCCTGGTTATCTCTCCTCCAAGCAGTAGCCAAGCCAATTTAGTTTTCTTTTTAAAGTTCATCCAAGGTCATTTAAAATTGCCATCATAGGAATAATTAACTTCAGGAAACAGCTTTGCATTGATGCTTTTCCCCATGGGATCTGAAGACTGGACTATGCTGCCATATCCACGTGGATTAATAGAGGATCTCATAACATTAGAACACAATAGACTGCCAGAATTTTAAATACAGGTAGTTCTCAACAACTGAGCCCAAAATTTATCTTGCTAAGCAAGGCTGTTGTGCCTCATTTTACAACCTTTTTTTGGTCAAAGTTGTTAAGCGAATCATTGCAATGGTTAAGTGAATCATGTGGTCATTAGGCAAATCTGGCTCCTCCCCCTCCCCCCCCCCTTTAACTTTGCTTGCTGGAAGCCATTTGAGAAGGTTACAAATAGTACCACATGACTGTGGGACAGTGCAATTATTGTAAATACATGCCAGTTGCCAAGCACCCAAATTTTGATCACGTAACCATGGGAATGCTGCAACTGTCATAAGTGTAAAAAACAATCGAGTCACTTTTTTCAATGGTTTAACCTTGAACAGTCAATATGCAAATGGCTGTAATTTGAGGACTACCTGGGTTGAACGGGCATTTAGGTATCTCTAGATTCCCTGTTGCTTCACTGTATGGCTTCATTTCAGTGTGCTCAGGACTACATTGCTAAATGTCTATGGAGATTCTCAGTCATCCAGGGCATGGTTGTCTCAAAGGTGCTTTTTCAAGAGGCAACTGGATTTGTTTGTTGTTGTTTTTTTTAAGACGTTTCGCTTCTCATCTAAGAAGCTTCTTCAGCTCTGACTGGATGGTTGCGAATGGAAGGCTCCACTCCCATCGGCACTACTCAGGTGACCCTGAAGGTAACAGATAAACCTCCAAGTGGC